CTTGATGGAAGATCAGTCTGGAACATCTAGAGCACTTAATTTGTTGTAACATTGTAGTAATGTTCTTATATGGTTTTTACTTGTTTCTATGTGTTGGCTTGCGCCTACTTGTGAGCCACCCTGAGCCCGCGCTGCGGGGCGGGCGGGCTAGAAATTGAATTTATAAATTAAATAAATAAATAAATCCAGAGACGGCTCCTAACCGGAAGGGAAGGGCTGTGTGAAACAGCCGTCCCTGTACCGGTTTCCTCCATGACGGGCCAATAATGCAAACCATGCGGTTAAAGAGGTAATGTGAAATCAACCTAACTCAGGGTGTTTGAGTCCCGTGGCACCTTTAAGACCAGCAAAGTGTTATTCCTGGTATAAGTTTTTCGTGTGCAGGCACACTCCCAGCTCTGCTGCTCCAGACCAGTTTGGCTACCCACCCGAATCTAACTCAGGGTGTGTTTCCTCAGTGGCTAAAGGAGGCAAAGTTATCTGTCCATTCCTTTAAAAGGCAGGGCCGAAGGTGAAGGATGTGGCCAATGATCACCCATTCTCTACGTTGCCTGCTTGGGGGCAAGTTGCTAGAGGGAGGGATTGCAGAAGAACTTCTGGTCTTAACGGAGGACTCATATACATATACATACATATACATTTTATTTATTTGTTTATTAGATTTGTACCCCGCCCTCCCGGGCTCAGGGCGGCTACAACAGAGGCCATTGCCATAACAACAGTTAAAAACAAACCAAAAGGGGTCACAGGTGTCCAGTAGGAAAAACACATAAGCAATCCTGTGATGTAAACATATCAAAAGATTTATATTACTTTCAAGACTTATAAAATTACAAAAAGTTTTATCAATTACACAATATTGTGAACAACAGGTCCAATATAGTTCTACATGATGAGTATTCGGTATAATACCTTAATAATTAGTTTCAAAATTTAGAAAATGAACAGTGTTTAGGAGAGTAATGCCAACAAAATCCAAGAGGCTTTTTTGGAACCTTTGGGCTTGCTCCACACGTAAACACTTGGTATGATCCAGAAGTAAGTTTTCTAAATTTTGAAACTAATTATTAAGGTATTATGGTTTGATATAATTAATTTCCATGCAGCTACTTATGAATTTGCATTTACCTTGGTTTTTCCAGGATACTATGAAGAAAATTACTACATTAAACTGGATTAAGATGCTGACCTCGCCCTTCAGTATAAAATTACATCTGAGGAAGACTGTATAGTTGAAATGAGTTTATACCGGATACTCATCATGTAGAACTATATTGGTCCTGTTGTTCACAATATTGTGTAATTGATATAACAACAGTTAAAACAACATAAACGCAATCATTAAACAGTATAAAACAATCATTACATAAAGTGCGGTGCTCTTGATGTTAAAGTTTTCTAATCCAAGATGAGTTCCATTCATCCACCTAACCTGACAACATACATTCTTCGGTTGACTAGGCGTCTGCCCAGGGCCAGCTCACCTCCAGATCTAATCCACCGTCGAAGATGGCAACTCGGTGGTGGTACAGTGACGTCATAGAACCTTTACGTAGAACCTTTATTGGCATAACACAGGAACAATAAGGAAGGCAATGGAACAAATAAATTAATAGAACGAATTAATAGATCATAACAAGTTACACCAACAGGGGATCCTTTTTAAGCTTCTCAAGAATAGTGAACTCAGTTAAAAAAATATAACAATCCAAATGAGCACAAGGGGGACTAAGACTTATGCGCCCTTACCCTTGGTAATTAAGACTTATGCGCCCATGGGTGTTGCCTGGTAGCTGCTTTCTTGTTTCTCTGCAGAGAGAGAGAGAATCAGAGCGTCAGATTTCGGAGGGGCCTCCAGAGATCATCCACCACCTCCACCCCTGGCTTAAAGAAGGACTCTCGAACCGCCAACCCTCCCCTGCTCCTGCAGTCTCCTCCAGGCACCCTCCGGAAAGCAGACACGTGAACACACACAAAGCTGCCTTCTACTGAATCAGACCCACAGTCTCTCCAGGAGAGCCAGTTTGGTATAGTGGTTAGGGGTGCAGACTCTAATCTGGAAGAACCCGGTTTGATTCCCCACTCCTCCACATGCCGCTGCTGGTGTGACCTTGGGTCAGCCACGAGTTCTCTCAGAGTTGTTTCTCTCAAGGGCAATTCTCAAAAGAGCTCTCTCAGCCCCGCCTACCTCACAGGGTGTCTGTTGTGGGAAGGGGAAGGAGTTTGTGAGCCGCTCTGAGACTCCTTTGGGTAGTGAAGGGCGGGGTATAGATCCAATCTCTTCTTCTTCTTCTTCTTAAGAACAGAAGAGAAGCCAGTGTTGGATCAGGCCAATGGCCCATCCAGTCCAACACTCTGTGTCACACAGTGCCCAAAAATGCCAGGTGTCATCAGGATGTCCACCAGTGGGGCCAGGACCCTAGAAGCCCCCCCACGGCTGCCCCCCCCCCAAACACCAAGAAGACAGAGCATCCCTTGCCCTAGACCGAGAGCTCCTATCTATACCTTGTGGCTAATACCTTCTTCAGGTCAGCACTGTCCATGGTCTCAGGCAGAGGACTTCCTGTAGTTCCACTGCCCTGCCCTCTTTCAAAGACAAGGCTGTGGTCCACCTGACTGTTGCAAAACCTTTTTTAGCAGGAATCCTCACCCTTTCCAGTGTCCCAGAAAGTTCACTCTAAGCTGTGGAGTCCTGTGAGCAAAAATTCTACTTTGTGAGCTACTGGCATGAAAGTTGTGAGCGAGCTACTTGGCTACAGCATAAATTAGTTTTCTCTGGAGCCCTCCTGCCTGAGCGAAGGCAAAAATCGGTGAGCCAGAGGCTATAAAACTGTGAGCCGGCTCACACTAACTCAACTTAGAGGGAACACTGGTCCCAGTTAGAGAATATTGGTAGGGCCCAGAAAACAAACAACTGGAACACCCTTCTGCAGAGCCCTAGGCACACCACCACACAGGTAGGTAACAAAATGGTTTATTTTGGGGGGGCAAAGCAGGACCAGTATTTCTGTGTACAAAACAAGAAAATGGTTTGGGGCTCTTTTTGTAGCAGGAACTCCTTTGCATATTAGGTGACACCCCCCCCCCCAATGTAGCCAATCCTCCAAGAGACTACAGGAGCCCCCTCACAAAAAGAAGAGCTCTGTAAGCTCTTGGAGGATTGGCTACATTAGGGGTGTGTCGCTTAATATGCAAAGGAGCTCCTGCTACAAAAAGAGCCCTATATCTATCCATCCATGGGCTCTTTTTGTAGGAGGAACTCCTTTGCATATTAGGCGACACACCCCTAATGTAGCCAATCCTCCAAGAACCTACAGAGCTCTTCTTACCGGGGCTCCTGTAAGCTCTTGGGAGGATTGGCTACATTAGGGAAGTGTTGCCAAATATGCAAAGGCGTTCCTGCTACAAAAAGAGCCCTATACTCTATCTGGTTTACCTCGAACAGTATAGCCCTAGTTGGACCTGGCAGCTTCCAAGCACAAATCTCAGCAATTGGTTCACAGCAGTGGAACAGGGTAGACCGCCACAAGCTCAATCCTTCCAGTAGAGTCAGGGTTTTCCCAAAAGAGAAAGAGCACTCCCCCTCTGGCCTCCAGGAGACTTTCAGGCCCAACAACCAATTAAAGAAGGATTTCAATTTTGGCCCACACGGATCAACATCTGATAACCAGAACAGCCTTTACATTGCAGCTGTCCTGCTTTTAAACATTCCCGGCTAATGTAGCCACACCCACTGTACAAATATCAACCTATGAGGTTGCAGAGATAAGGTCCAATCACATTCGTTCCCGCTCAGGGAGCTTGCTTGAAGTGATTGGCTTGTTACTTCCTGGGCTAGCAATACTATTGGATGGGTTTGGATCCTAGCCCAGGACGAAGCTTAACATTACAGTTCAGTTAGATGTTTCACAACATGTCATGCATTCAAGACAGCTTTGAATACCCGACATTGATCACCGACACTGACTGCCAGTTAGGCTTAACCAGGCTCACCTGAGACCTTCCGCAGAACAGTGCTAAGTAAACAACTATTAGCCTGCAGGTGGCCAACACTTGAGGCTCAAGAACCCAGCCTTGGGCTCCTGCTGGGAACTAACTATATTTACCAACTAAAAGTAAAATGGCCCCCGGTTACTACACTTCCGTATCACCAACTCTTGGTCTACCCTTAAGGCAAAGCCCCTCCCCCATCCACACGAACACACATAAGAACATAAGTTATGCTAATGAGTTATGCTAATAAGCGCCTGCACCTCTTTTTCTGCGAAATGACCCCTGGTGGTAAGGAAGGGTTGATGGACAACCACTTCCTCTCTTATCTGCCTGAAGGGGCAGGCACATAGTCAGGCTTTGACTTAGTAAAGTTGGATGTGCTTGGACAAAGGCTCCAATCATAACCATGCTTAAAGGTAAAGGTAAAGGTTCCCCTGCTCGAAAGCCATTCGAGTCCGACTCTAGGGTTGCGGTGCTCATCTCCGTTTCCAAGCTGAAGAGCCAGCGCTGTCTGAAGACGTTTCCGTGGTCATGTGACCGGCATGACTAAACACCAAGGCGCACGGAACACTGTTCCCTTCCCACCGAAGTGGTCCCTATTTATCTACTTGCAATGTCTTGCTTTCGAACTGCTAGGTTGGCAGGAGCTGGAACTAGAGACGGGAGCTCACTCCGTCATGCGGCACCCTTGGGTCTTGAACTGCTGAACTGACCTTCCACAGCCTGCAGTTCAGCGTCTTAACCACTCAAGCCATCGCAGCTCCCATAACCATCCTTACCAGAGTGTAAATCCTGTTGAACTCAGTAGGATTTACATGCTTAGGACCATAAGAACATAAGAGACACCAATGTTGGATCAGGCCAAGGGTCCATCCAGTCCAACACTCTGTGTCACACAGTGGCCAGAAATACCAGGGGCCATCAGGAGGTCCACCAGTGGGGCCAGGACCAGTGTTCCCTCTAAGCTGAGTTAGTGTGAGCTAGCTCACAGATTTTCAACCTCCAGCTCACAGATTTTTGTCTTCACTCAGGATGACTCCAGAGACAACTAATATATACAGTAGCCCAATCGCTCGCTCACAAATTTCATGCCAGTAGCTCACAGAGTAGAATTTTTCCTCACAAGACTCCACAGCTTAGAGGGAACATTGACCAGGACACTAGGAGCCCTCCCACTGTTGACCCCCCCAAAACACCAAGAAGACAGAGCATCACTTGCCCCCAGAGTCCCTATCTATATACCTTGTGGCTAATAGCCACTGATGGACCTCTGCTCCATATGCTTATCCAATTCCCTTTTGAAGCCCTCCATGCTTGTAGCCGCCACCACTTCCTGTGGCAGCGAATTCCACGTGTGCATCAATACGAAGCTGCCTTGCACTGAATACGGCCATTGTCCCAGTGTTGTCCACTCTGACTGGCAGCAGCTCCCCGAGGTCTTAGGCGGAGGTCTTCCACATCACCTCCCGCCTGGTCCTTTTAACTGCAGGTGCTGTTGTTGATTGAACCTGGGACCTCCTCCGTACCGAGCAGACACTCTCCCACTCGGCCACAGCCCCTCCCGAGCGAGGGTTTACTTACTGATACGGAAGGCGACCCCGGCCCCCACCAGGACGACAGCGGCCACGGCTCCCAGCAGGACTCCCAGAACAAGCCCCACTTTGGACACTGAAACGAGAAAGAAAATGCATCTACTCAGAAGGACTCCACATCTGCCAGGCCTCCTGCAGAAGCCTCCCGCAGAAATCTTCCTGCAAAATGTGGCTCTGCTGGGGACCGATCAACAAAACGATGATGTGCTTTGAGGTCATTAAACCCTGTTTTTGGAGAGAGAGAAAGAAACCATTCAGTCCTTGAATGGGGAGGGAAGTTCACTCCTAGAGATGTTCCCTAGCGAAAGGCTGGAGGAAGCAGAAGTGAGAGAAAGGGCGAAACCACCGCATGAAGTCCCACCCCCAATAGCTCTGCATTGGAGACCCGTGTTCCCTCTAAGCTGAGTTAGTGTGAGCTAGCTCACAGTTCTTTAGCCTCCGGAATTTGGAGCGGACTGCTTTTGAGAATACAAGACTGGGGTTTTTTGTTTTTTGTCCTTTGGTAAAAAACGTTCTGGGATCAGATTGGTATAGAAGTGTCGGGGATCATGGGAAGAAGGGTAAGAATATCTAAAGCAATGGCACTTATTAGTCTGGATGGTATAGGGTGTCAGCAAGCTGCCATTCTGTTTTGTGTGACCTCTGTGTACATATCCTTACCCTGTTGCACCCGGCTTGTTTCTACCATCCTGCTCCTGTGCTGGAATGCATAAGATAACTACTGGTGGATGTGTGGGGGAGAAGATGCTGTAATGCTTGCCTATTGCTTATCGCATGAGAACTGCACCTGTGTTTTGTCTGATGTTCTGCCTGGTTCCCATGGAATGGGCGCGCAACCGTTGTATTAGCCCGCCAGCGGGAATGTTATTCATTGGATATGTATCTGTTTGAATTTCCTTTATTATGCTTGCCCTACCTGTGTATCCCCAGTTCTAACAAAGAACGTGTTTGAGTATCTCTTCAACGCTTTGAAATAAATTTTGCTTTTCTTGAAAACGTGGATTTATTCTCGATGCTTGGGGATCCAACATATTGTTAGAACTCCCTTTCTCCTATCGTTCCGAATCTGGCAAGATCATGAGCGGAGCTGAGGGAGACCTACCTAAAACGGAGGGGGACTCAGGATCGGTCCCACATACCTCCGCTCCTTTGGTGTTCACGACTGCAGCCTCGCTGGTGGGTGCCGTGGGGGGAACGATTCCCCGCCTGCCTGCACATCTGTCTTGGCCGCCTCCGACCCCTTCGCACTGGGGTCCGCGGAAGACTCAACAGCAGGATGACTGGACTATGTACAACACTCAGGGCACCCGAGAGGTGTACTCCCGTCGAGGGAGCGGATTACGTGAAAGTCTGTTTGACAAGGGATTGTTCCCAGAGCCGGGGGCTACCTCGGAGAAGGGGTGTTCTGAGCAAGACCTCGAAGAGTGGATGTTCGAGCCATCGGGGCCCCGAGGCCACGTAGAGGATTCGGAGGGAGCCGGCGGCTTCCAAACGGAAGGAGACTACGACCCACCCCCGGACTCCCACCCTCGAGATCCGATCCCTGAGGAAACCACCGGGGAACGACTGGAGGAACTGGAATACTCGGTGAGAGACTTGTTGAGGGCATTCCAGGATGTAATGGAAGCTCTGCCGGGAATGATGAACGTTAGAATGGCTAATTTCCTTGACGCACACGCCGCGCAGCAACAAGTTGTCCCTGCACCGGGAGTTCCCGCGCCGCAGGTGCCTGCCCAGCCACCGGCCGGACCTCCGCAGCAAATAGGACCTGCGCAACAGCCGATGCCGGG